ATTTTGATCAGCTATGTGAAATTAGTCATCAAGCAAAAGCCACAACTCAGTATAAAGCAAGAAGTTTGTCCGAAACCACTATTAGAGCCACATGTTTCTAGAAAGGCACCGTAGACTAAATATGATACTAGATTGGATAGAGCATGCAGAGTACATATTAAGTGGTCAAAGAAATGAGGCAATTTACTTCAGTCATTTAGTGAAGTTGTTTCCATGGGTTACATCATTTTTACATAAGGTCTAGAGCTGCTTGAACGTGATATATATTACAGGACATGCCTGTAATGTTTGGGGTATATGCCTATAATGTTTGGGGCATAACAGTATAAAAAATTACTTTTTTTAAATGAAGTGCTGCATTCACTAAGATTCCGAAGGAATGTGCTATAGCAAAACTCCCCCAAACTAGCATGCTTGTTGGTGGTGTTGTTTTGAGCCATCATTGCTAAATGGCATGCACTACCTTTATTTACAGGGTAATGGTACCAGCCAGCCTTGCTTGAGAATCAAAGTACTACATTATTATGAGAACAGACAATTTAAAATAGGAAAAGTACATGTTAAGCCTGTGATCCCGGTCTTGAGCAAAGCCTGCAGTCTGGTTAAAATTGCCATTGCCTAATAGAAAAATTGTATTGAAGTTAAAGTTCTGAAATAGGCTGACAGTCTTGGCACTGCAGATGTGGATGGTGGCTGGAAAAAAAGATTTTGAAATCTGGCTGTAGATTTTCAGCTATGGTATTTGAAGAACCATAGCCGGTCTTGAGTCTTAGTGTAGTGTTTGTTTACCTTCCACAAAATCTATCACAAGTATCCTCTATTTTCTATAGTGCTGAGAGCACTAAATGAATTTCCTGCTGTGCTCTGACTACAATGACTGTGTAAAGGGTTCTTTACCCTGGAGTTGTTTTCAGCCCTGCTGTCCAAGATCATGGTAATGCCGGAGTCTTGCTAGCTATGCCTAGAAAACCAGTGGCATAAACAGGATGGGACTGGAATGGGTATGAGTATTCTCTGGATGTGATGCAAGTTGATTGAGAGTCTGGTGCTTTCATTCTTCATTGTTAATCAAGCCATGTGTAGTAGTGGCAGGCTGGATTTATCAGATTCATGTCAATAGCTTTTATCTGTTTTGAACACCTTTTGCTTCCTCTGTAACAGCGTATGTGAAAGTGTGATGTGCTGCGAACTCATTTTGCACACGTTAGCTGCTTTTGCTATTATGGCTTTCGTAGAGGATACGTTTATGTCCCGTGTCTTGGTGTGGGTTAGCGCCTCTTCCAAATTCCATTGTCTTGTAAAAGAGTGTGATATTTTAGATTCAAGGCTTGGTAATCAGAGACGATTGGAAAATTGTGTCTGGTATAGCAGCAAAGCTTGCAGACTGCTTATTCATGAAAAACTCTCCACTTGGTGAGAATTCAGCATTATGTATCTTCCTCAAGAATCTTTTTGTAAATTAAAAAAAAGAGGGAAGTACCAGTGCAATAGTTGCTGCAGAGACAACCATGTATATTTTGCACTCATGACTCATCCAAAAAAAGGAAAGCTTGGTCAAATTCTCTAAGCACATTTTCAGCCTGCTGGGTGTAGTCATCTTTCCTAGTGTTTTCTTCAGTCACATGAGATGGAACTAATGTGTCTAGTGCCTCCTGGTGATTAAGCAATACTGGTTTTTAGTTAGTGTTTGAGAAAAGAGCATACTGTGCAGAGTTTTGGTTTTTAATTAAAGGTTTTGTACTTCAGTAGTATGCATGAAACAATGGAAAACCTGAGACATCAGAAAACTCGATTCTATAGTTTGTCCTGTTAGTTTGGCTTACAATAAAAGACTACCTTGTAAGATAGCGTCCTTTTGGACGCAGAGATGTGTGCATGGGCTTCTGTGCTCTAACAGGATTTGTGAGGGCATATCACATCACTGCAGCTGTCTTGGCCTTTTCAGCTTTGCAGAAGATAAATTTGTAGCTGAACATTGTGTCTAAGTTAGAGGAGGGAGGTGTGACTGGGATGTGCTTCAGCTTCCACCTACAGTATCAAACCACATCCTGATGTACCTCTCTATTCTTTGGACTTTTGAGATATTGCTGTTTCAGTTAAACACCATGGCTTTAGCTTTTTTGTGAAGTCTGGATAAAAGCATAACTTGTGCAACATTATTGCCAGAAACTTGCGCAGGAGGTTTCTCTCAAAGCTTTAGCGTGGAGCCGTTATAAAAAATATGAATAGGTGAAATGTTGCCAGCGGGGAGACCAGATCTTTTGAGCTGTACCACCTATACAAGGAGTGGAGTGTCTTTCCCCTTTCACCTTTTTGTATATTAGTTGATTTTGAGCTAATGGTTCCAATATGTGCTGCTTAATGCACCCCATCGCCTGGCAAGGAGAGACAGTCTTTGGTGCTTGTACGCACCCTGCTGATTGCATAGGCTTAACCTTGGAAGATCAGTTTCTTAGGCAACAAGGTTTTCAGAATGAAGCAGATCTTAATTTTAAATGCATCTTCAGCTGAAGAGCTCTCTAACGGGGTTTTAACTTCCCCTTTTCAATGTGCATCCTGTTCCAGAATGAATCAACCAGTTTCACTGACAAATCCTTTTTTGGAATGGGTTGATGTGCCCAACCTGCTAGTCTTAAATCTTCTGTAGGCTGTCTCTCCAAATCTCCTACTTGCCAATTCATTTCCATTCCATCAGATAATGTACATCAGTTTTCTCAAATAATGTAAAAAAGTCGTGCAAGTCAGACATTTTTTGGTTAGATTTGTTTCGTGGATTTTTTTCCCCACTCTTAGTGGTATGTTCCAATTAAAAGGCAAGCTCCTACGTTCTCCATTCCTTTAGTCCTTTCCCTGGGAAAAAATATGCAGCTTGTACGTGTGTGTTTTTTGAAGCCTTTGGATGCGTATGTTAGAGGGGCCTTGTTAAATTTATGGGGATGGAGTCAGTGTTCAAAAATCTTGTATTCAGTTTGCATCCTGAACTTGTGTATTGGTCTTCCAAGGTTTTTATTAAGAAGCAAACCTGCATTTTAAATAGCGAGTTAAACTGAAATCAATTCAGCAATGGAGTATTTTGGCAGCTCCAGCTCCCTTTGATGTAATGCTCGTGACATGGACATTATTTAGTGAGATGGGTCCATTGATAAGAGAACGTTTTTCCCTAAAGTTCTGTAATCCACTGTCTGTAGAATGTGACACTCCAATTAAGCTTCCTTTAGACAGACTGACAGTTATTGCATTGCTAAATGTTTAATTGTCTTGGTGACAGGTCCAGTTTAGGCAACTCCTGCCTGCCCCTAATTGCTTCTTCCTAATTCTGAACTGATTCCTCAGCAGCAGTGCAGCCGTGTGAGGCCACGTGATGGAGTGCATCAGGCAGTGCATTTGGCTGGAATAACCAGTGTGCTTGCAAGGAAACTTAATTTTGGTGTGGTTATTTTTCCAGGGGTTCCTTAGACAACCTCCCCTGCGCCAGGGGAGGTTTAGATTGGACGTGAGGAAAAATGTCTTTACTGAAAGAGTGGTTAAACATTGGAACAGGCTGCCCAGGGAAGTGGTTGAGTCCCCACCCCTGGAAGTATTTAAAAGACGTGTAGATGAGGCGCTTAGGGACATGGTTTAGTGGGTGGTGGTGTTGGGTCGACGGTTGGACTCGATGATCTTAGAGGTCTTTTCCAACCTCAATGATTCTATGACAAGAGTCATGCATCCTCTAACTCCCTCCCACCCCGGCTAAGGATTAGCCAAGGAGTGAGCTGAGCAGTCGATCAGCCAGCACTGCTTCCATGTACAAATGGAACCATCTCTTTAAAAATGGAAAGGAATGGTTAGGTCATGCTGTTCACCGTCTGCAAATATACAGCTGGTCAACGCAGTGCGTTCTACATCGCTTCATGAGATTTTAAACAAAGCTTCTGCAGTTTCCTTTAACAGACGGCCCAATTAATCTCTTACAAATGTTTTCTGGTTGCTTTTTATCCCATCACTCTGTGTACTCCAGCTGTGATGCCAGTGCTGAACACTGACATTCAGCTTACAATTTCTGAAAATCTATTATCACTTTTGGTCTAGAGTGTTAGGTGACTTACAGGCTCTTGAAATTAGAGTGTTAAAATTTAAGTTTCAGTATTGGGCTATAGATATTTGTCATCCTCTTGAAAATTTTAGGATGCTCTACTGAGCCAGACATGATGCACTACTCCTAAACAAAAAATCACCATACTGAATACTTAGTAAGAGTATAAATTTTTAGTGGTAGCTTCAGGGTGTGGGCTTACTGGTCTCCCGGTTTTATTTAAAAAAAAAAAAAAAAAGAGGAAAGTAACAATAATAAAAAAGGGTATTAAGTGTCGTCTTAGTTTGCTGATTAAACAAGACCATTTGGCTGGGAGAGAACCTCTAATTGCTTCCAAATGTTTAATCCTTGAGCTTGGATGAGACCCTACACTTGGTTCACTTCAAGAATATGCTAAGTTGTCTGTTTCTGACAAAATAACTTTGTTATAGCTGGACTGGTCCATACTAATTTTGTTTTATGATCTCCCCATTATTATCTTAGTTCATAAGAAAAATATGCCATAAGCCAAACACAAAAGCAAAAACCGTAGTAGTTGCATATTTTTATGGTTGGTTGTGAGTGAGTGCCATTGAAGTAGGTTTTGGTTTTGAGCTATACTTATCAGCTGCTTTGTCATATAACTTTTAAGACACTAAGAGATTTAATCTCAAATCCCATGATTAAACTATTAATCTTTTGTGATTGTCCACCAGTTGTCTCTGTGGAAAATCTGGGAGAGAAGTAATCTTGCCTTTAGTAAGACACCGTAGCAATTTTGTCAATCCTTGTGTTTTCTGTACCAGGTTTTCATGGCAACTTTCTCAGCTTCTGGTGAAACAACCGAAGAAAAATTCTTCAAGAGCATTAAGGAATGTTATGTTGCTCTTTGTTCTGCATCTTTTGAAAACCTAATAGTAGCTAACTTCCTTTTTTTTCTTTCCAGTATTGTTCCACTTTTAAGAGAATCCATTGGAATTTTGATGCAGCGAACTCCTCCTTCCCTGGAAAACGCCCTGCCTCAGTGCTACCAGAGGGTGAGCTCTTAGGCCGTTTTTGCTTCAGATCAAGCTGCTGACTGAATGAGCCCCAACTGTGTGTACGAGGATATTTTGTGGTGTTTTTCCAGTAATGTCTGTGAAAGGTTCCTTAGATTGTACAAATGGAGGTACCAGTTTGATTCTTACCTTTCTGAAGTCTTAAATTGTATGTAGCTTCAACTCAGTTTGCGTTTTAAAATGTGCTATGTTGGTTTAGAAAAATAGATCCTGAAGCTTTTCCTCTCTAAGTACTTCGTGCTGATACAAAGTGCATAATGTTTTTCTGTTTTGTTCAGTTTTTGTCCCTGTCGTGGTTTAATCTCAGTCGGCAACTAAGCCCCACGCAGCCGCTCACTCACTCCCCCCCGCGGTGGGATGGGGGAGAGAATCGGAAGGGTAAAAGTGAGAAAACTCGTGGGTTGAGATAAAGACAGTTTAATAGGGAAAGCAAAAGCC